CATCGGAATGGTGGGATCATTTGAAAGAAAAAAAGATTGATGATGTGATATATGCAGAATGCAACTATTGCAAAGCCCGTCTCAAAGCACCGAGTGGTTAAAGAACGAAAAATTTGAAGAAGCATTTTGAAAAAATTTGTAAAAAAAGACCAAGGAAAATGGACATTCAACAAAGTATTATGATGATGGGAAGCAAAAAACTTGGCGGAGGTCAACCACTTGAAACCCGTTTGTTTAATTAAGAAGATTCAAGGCACGATCTTGTAACAATGGTGATTTTGCATAATTATTCGTTGACAATGGTCGATCATATTGGTTTTCGAAGATTTGTTGGTAATCTTCAACCATATTTTAACATGATTACAAGAAACACTTTGAAATGTGACATTTTTAAGATTTATGAGGTTGAAAAAAGCAAGTGTTATGAAATAAATATTGGACAAGCTTACTAGTCGAATTGCTATCACAACAGACATGTGGACATCAAGCAATAATAAGAAAGGATTTATGTCAATTAATGGACATTATATTGACGACTCTTGAACTTTGAAAAATGACATTTTGAGGTATATTTACTTAAAAATAATTTTTTATTTTGGTATTTTTGCTGTATAGATAATTGAAACTTACGAACAATTCTTTCATTTCATAGGTTTTTTTATGTACCGACTCCTCGTACCGCTGAAGTCTTATCAAATGTCATCATTTTGTCTTTTATGGACTGGAATATTGATAGGAAATTACCAACTATTACTGTTGATAATTGCACTACCAATGATTCGATTATTCAACAAATTTTGGAGAAACTGTCATCAAAAGATATGTTGATGGATGGAAATATACTTCATATGTGTTGCTTTGCACATATTTTAAATTTGATTGTTAGATATAGGCTAGAAATAATTAGTGGTGCAATTGAAAAAGAGCGTGATAGTGTGATTTATTGGACTGCTTCATCTTCTAGAATTGAGAAATTTGAAAAAGTTGTTCCTCAATTGCATATCAATTGTTCTAGAATGTTATTTCTGGATTGCAAAACTCGTTGGAACTCTACTTATTTGATGTTAGAAACGACTATTATTTATAAAGATGTGTTACCACGAGATAAATGTAGATAGAGAAATTACAGTAGTTAGCCAAGTAATGAGGATTGAGAAATTGCAATTGAAATATGTGAAAAGTTGAAGATTTTCTATGAGGTGACATAGTTGTTTTCTGGAACTCTTTATCCTACATCAAATTTTTATTTTGCTCATATATGTGAGATAAAATTAAAATTAAAAGAATGGGTGAAGAGTTCGAATGTGTTGGTTCAAGAAATGACGAAGAAAATGCTTGCAAAGTATGAAAAATATTGAAGTGATTGTCATATCATGTTGAGGGTTGTTGTATTGGATCCTAGGTACAAGTTGAAGTTGGTTGAATTTTATTTTAATCTGATATCACTACAAAAAAAATAGTATATTTGTAACAGAATTCTGTTCTTAAAGTTCACGTAGCTAACGTAATTTCATCTATAATTTTGTCTATAATATCATTAGTAACATAAAAAGTGAATTTAGAAACGAAAAAATCTCGTTACAAAATTTATAATTTCTTGTGGTGTATATGGTGATGAAGCTGAGATCAAAGTTAATCAAATTCGTCAAAATTGTTATAATTTGTTGATTGATTACCAATCGGGTAGTCTCAGGTCGGGTCCGGGTCCAATCTGGTATGATTCAGGTCCTTGGTCCATATACATTTTTCGGGTCGGGTCTCAGGTCTGGTCAGACCCGACCCGACCCGTTGCCTTCCCTACTGAACATGCGTAGTGTTGGGCAAAAATCTCATTATAATTTTATTCTTTGCGGATGATTTTGGCTTAATCTCTCAAATATATATATACATAAAACTCTAATTTTATCTATATTTCTTTTATATTACCCCAAGAAATCCTAATCTTATTAGATTATTTGTTATTCTAATAAATTTTAATTAACTATCCAATTCAATATAATAAAATAAAATAAAATAAAATAAAATTTTAAAATTACGTAAGCGCGCACAAATTAAAACGCCTTATCAAATATATATATATATATATATACTAGCTTATAACTCATATATCCAAGGATATTTCAATATTAATAATATAGTATTGAATTAAATTTTTATTAACTTCATTTCCTTTCTTTAAAAAAATAGATATAAAAACTAATTATGAAAAAAAACCATACATTATTCAATAAATGGTGTGTTTATGTGTTAATTTATAATGTATTCAATTCAAAAAATAAAATAAAATAAAATAAAAATAGAATTATAAATTATTCAAATTAAACTATCAATTACGTAAAAATAAAATATTAAATACAATGCATGCATGTAAATGAAAATTGAAAAAAAAAAAAAAAACTTTTATAAAAACTTCAAAATAAATTTAATAATACGAGACAAAATATAACTTTATAAAAAATTATAAGTATGACTAACTTTTATAAAAAAATCATTAAATATATAATATAATTCTATAAATTTGACTTTAATCAAAATAATAAATTTAACATTATTTATATCGTTGACCTAGTATCAATAATTAAATTTATATTATAGTCTAGCTAGAGGCTTAAATAAAATTAATTAATATTGACTATTGTCGTCTATAAAATAATAGCTATAATTTTTGTTGAAAGTAACGGAACAAAATATAATTTTTTTAATAATTACTTGTTCCACGTAAAATGTTCATTTTTTTTATTTTCCTTCATATAATATAATTTGTCATCTTCTTTTTTGAAAAGTTATTATACACTCTAATTATATTTAAAATTTTATAATTTATAATTTTTTAATTTTAATTAAATTATTTAGTTATCTTAATATATAATTATTTATATTATACAATAATAATTTTTACTAATACACTTCTTACTTATTTAGTAATTATATTTTTTCTAAATTTTCCATCTCTAAAACGTGAACACTTTTGGTAGAACGGAGGAAATATTACTATGAGTAACTTTTATATATGTACCAATAAATTAAAAAAAAAAAATTGAAAAAATTAATATTGTGAATATGGATCATAAACTCTTCAAATATATATTAATATGATATGATATTAAAAATTATGAGTTTTTTTTTTTATTGAAAGTAATTTCATACAAAATATAACAATAATATATTATTATTAGTATGACATGTTTTTATAAAAATGGTATAAAAAATTAAAAATAATTAATTTAATATTATATTTCTTAAATATTAAATTATATTATTTTTATAATATAGGTTATCATATTATGAATTCGTTTTGTTTTGTTTTTTTTTTTTTTTTTAGAAAAATGCAAAATAAAATATAGATGATCATATAATATTTAAATATATATATCTATATGATAATTATGATTGTTTTTTAAAAATTGATGTGGGACAAAATATCATAATTATTAATATGACTCACACCTTCATACTAATTAGAAAAAAATAATAAAAGTTTTCATAGATCAATTTTATTGTTGCAAGAAATTTGAGATAATATAAAATTTTATAAATAATAATTATAGTATAACCCACTCTTATAAAAAATTATAGTATATATAACTCACTTATTGAAATTTTATTTTTTCCAAGTTAGCCCCTTTGAATATATATATATATAATTCTAAAATTTTATACATTTAAAATTCGATTTTGAATTTAAAATTATTTTTACAAAGAAGATAAAAAAAAATAATATAAAAATTTGAAGAAAAAAAAGAGAGAGAAAATATGAATTTCAAATTTAATTTTAAATTTTAAATTATTTTTAAAAAAGAGATAAAAATAATAATATAAAAAATAAACAAAAAAAAATGGAACAAAATTGAAAGATAACATAAATTAAAAAAATAATGAAACAAATTAAAAACAAAAAATAAAATTTATACAAATAATATTATATATTGTTTGTTTGATTAAAACTAAAATAAATCTTATTTATAAATACAAGAAAGAGAATTTACATATTAAATTCTATATAAGATAATCAATATATAACAAATTTATTTTAAAAATATTAACAATAAATATAAATAAATTTGAATTGAAAGGATAGTTGGATTTAAAATATTATCCATATATATATATATATCCATAATTAATCAAATATTAGTTTTTAAATTTTTAAAATTTCGAAAACGATGAGAATTGGAGAATTAAAGCGCCTTGTAAAACCTTCTTCTATTCACAAATATTTCCCCTTTCTTCTTCCTTGCCCATATATCATTAATTATATATCAACGCTTATATATATATATATATATATATATATAGAGAGAGAGAGAGAGATATGCTTAATTACAATAGAGTTCACACACAGCAACTTCAAGTTATTTCGAAGCTCGAAATGATCAAGTTTCCAAGAAGAAGAACAAAAACTTAATCAAATTAAGCCACAAGGCTTGTCTTCTTTACGAAACTTTTTGTTAACTCGACTCTTGCATCACCTTCATATTATGTGTTTGAATATTTGCGCAAAATAGAAATTGTATATTAACAAAAACATGAGAGTTTCAATACTTGCGTTTGTTTGCGTTAGAGTTCATGTATGTATTCAAGAACAAGAGCTTAGTTGAGAGCGGCGAAGACGACGTCAAACGAGCAACTATTATGTGCGATAATAGGAGCTCAGTCGGGAGCGGCGGCAGCAACGACGGACCAATCAATTGTTATCTGTGTTTGCGTCTTTTGGTTTTTGTTTAACTTTCTTGTCAAACTCAAGCTGGTTTCTGCGATCCCACTCGAGTTTGAGATGGGGTGTCCAGAAATTTTCGATATTTAGTTTTAGATTTGTTAGATTTAGATTTAAATTTAGTCATATATATCCATTAGATTACGTTATTTATATGTGAGTCTATCGAGTCTGTTTTAAATATGTTAACATTATGAAATCGAAAAAAAATTATTCGAGCATTACTCTACATTCATCCTTAACATCGCTGTGGTTATAAATGATATTGTACCGCTTGCATCAAATACTATATATCTTTCCTCGCGCAAAGTTGTTCGAGCTTCTTCACAATTACTTCGAACTCCTCTTTACTTGTCATTTTGATACTCTCCCTTAGCTCCCCAATTCGACTCCTCAAATCTTCCCCGATTTTCTCAAAAATTACCCGCTCGATCACTTTTGATATTTCCTCTCTATCGAGCCTCCCTTTCTCATCTCTTCTAACTTCTATGCCGACTCCAAGCTCCACGACTAGCTTCGCATTCATCGGTTGATCGAGATGCATTGGCATCGCAATGATAGGAACGCCGTAGTCGATGCTTTCCTTGAGCGAATTCCAACCACAATGACTCACAAAACCACCTACACTTTCATGGCTTAGAATCTTCGCTTGCGGCGCCCAATTCTCGACAATTCTTCCTCTTTCTCCGATTTTTTCAAGAAATCCTCGCGGGAGCACATCCTCGATCTTTATCTCCTCTCCTTTCGCGAACCTAATGACCCATATAAAGTTCAAATTGCTCGACTCCAAACCGTGAGCCAATTCTTCGATCTCATCCTTATTCAAAAAGTATTCGCTCCCAAAAGACACTAGCACCGTCGAAAGTTGTTCTTTCGCTCCGAGCCACTCCATGAGCTCGGCATCCTCGTCTCTATTAATTATCGGGTCACGAACTAGCGCGCCCACCGCGACGATCTCTTTCTTGATCATCTTCGAGAGGTAATCCACGTACTTTCCTTCGATTTCCATCGACGTATTCACCAAGATGATCCCATCGCTCGTTTGATACGCCTCGTCATCCGCATCCTTCTCCTTGCTCGTCGCGGACTCAACGTTCGCATGAGCCTTCGATAGTTGATATTCGGATAGATGTATAGCCGGGAACGGGAACTCAATCCCCGGCCGCATTCCCAAATGACAAAAATACGAGAACATAGTAGCTCCCGATGTAAAAAAAGCAACCGACGGAATTCCACGGCGCGATGCTATTGTCCCGGCCCACGGAAGCACGACATCGTGGATTACCAAATCCGGTCGAAGATCATCCAAGATGTTCGAAAAGCTCGGTTTCGCCGCCTTCAAAGCCTTCCGAAGGCTCGAATGGAGACTTAGGGGGAGACCGTTGGTCGTGTGGCGTTGCGGAGGAAGTTCGGGATGCGTCGAGGGTAGATGAAGCTCGACGAGACGGATATCGCCGGAATAGTTATTCCGGCAAATCTTGCCTTCAATGGAACTAAGGTTCGCCGGAGTCGAACAAATGTAGGATCGGAAATTCCGGCCGGCGAGGTTCCTGGCGAGGTCGATGAACGGGGAAATGTGGCCATGGGCGAGCCATGGAAACATGAAAACTTTGAAACATTTCTCCTCGGAATCCATCGATGAAAGCAGTTAGTTCGAAGTTAGTTTAGGTCTTTCTTTGTCATGTTGGTTGATATATAATATTCTTTGTAAGAAGGCCGGCCAGAAGATCGTTTAATAATAGTTTTTCACAGGTCGTCGGCGATTAAATAAAACGATAACTTCTAAGTGAAAGCAAAATATATATATATATGGAGTGTGTTTGTCTGAGGATTTGGATTTTGAATTGGGATTTAAATAGTAAAAATTTTGAATTTGAATAGTTGTATATATTAAATAGGTGTTGATGTGATGTTTTGAATGTAAAATTGATTTTTAGTATAATATAAAAAATGAAAAATAAGTGTTTGATTTGATATTTTTTGGGGGAAAAAAAGAAAAAAAAAAAAAAAAAAAAAAAAGATGAATAATGGAAATCCAAACAAAACCCTCAAACAAACACACCCTATAGCGGTTTGTCTTTTATATGTTGGATGTATTTATATTTGAGAATTGTCCGAATCTTTGCCAAATTTGTTCTTGCATTTGTTGTGCTTTTGTGATTCCGTCAATTGATCCTTATTGGGTTTGTTTTTTTTTTTTTTTTGGTTTGTTGGGATTTTTGTTGTAAGTTATTATTATGTTACTATTTTTTCTTTTTTGTCGGGTAAAATAATTTTTTGATTTTTTTTTAATTTATATGCGTGTCAATATTAGTTTTTATATTATTAAAGTGATTTTTTTGATTTATTTTTTATTTATATATAGATCAATTTTAGTTTTTCAATTTTTAATATAAAAATTTCGATTTCTTATCAATTAATATAGTTGGATTTAGTCCTTAATTATCATTCTCGAAAAATTAATAGATATATATAGTTATATGCATTGTTATACAAAAAAAACTGTTTTTAAACAATGGTTTTTAAATTGGGTGTTTAAGTTTATTTTGGTATGACTAGTTTGAAGAAAATATTTGCGTGAACATATTTAAAAATAATAATAATATAAATAAATAAAAATAATATTTTAGAATGAAAATCATACATTACTCGTCATTAAAAAAAAATAAACTTAAAATTCTTGAAGATAAATTTTAATACAGTACTGCGTTTTTATTATTATTTTTTTTTTACTTACGATTTTTTATTGAAAATAAAAAATTTCATATTTTTATGTAAAATAGGTAATAATAATTATATTATTAATTTTTTTTAAAAAAAGATAATGATTAAGAACTAAATTGAACTAACTTAAATGAATAATAGACTAAAAACTTAGGGCATCCACAACGGGAGACGCTTGTTGAGAAGCGCCTCCCACGTCATCATTTATTAAATAAAAAAAAAATTAAAACACCAATTAACATAAGAAACGGTACATTGCGAGTGTACCATTTCTTCCAATTTTTGTGGGCCATGGTCCATTTTCTTATTCAATAAATATTAAAAATAATATTTATAATATATACTTTTTTATTTATATTTATAATAATTTATTTTATTTAAAATATTATATTCTAATTTTGTTATATAAAATTTTATTTAATATTTATAATTTGAAATATATTTTTCAAGAAATAAAAAAATTAAATATTTAACTTTAATTATTATGCAAAGTGTGAAATTATTATTTTTATTTATTTATGCTAAATAATTGTTTTATTTTTATTAAATATTATAAGAATAAAATATGATTGCAAAATATAATTTTATTTTATAAATAGATAAAATATTTAATGAGGTGGAAAAAGTAAAGATTTTAAAGGGTTCTTTGATGTGAATGTAAAATATAGTTGGAGTTCTTCGTGACGTGGCGGAGAGAGAAACTGACGTGGCACAGGAGAGAGAATGGGAAGAAACTGACGTACCAAATTTTTCGCAAACTTCCGCAACAAAAATTAAACCATAATTTTTCATTTTATTTTTTATTTAATATTAACTTTAATTAATAAAAATAAATATTCATATAAATATTTTTAAATTTCAAAATTAATGTTAATTATTTTTTTAAAAAAATAAAAATAAATAAATTCATATTTATATCAATTTTAATGTCAAGCTAAAATACATCAAACGCGAAAATATATCTATACTATACAAAAATTTTAATAATACTGCGTAGGTAGAATAGTTTCATCGTCGCCTTCATATTCACCATATTCTTCGTTGCCGTAATATCGCCTATTTCCACTCGCTTCACCGGTCCGACTTCCACTCCCACTCCCCTCTTGACGCATTCGATAAGGATTAAATTGACTGGTCATTTGAAGATAATATAGTTCTGGTTCTTGATGAATATAATTATTAAAGTTTTGCAGAAAAAAAAAAAAAAGAAAAAACATAACAAAAAAACTTATATGTTTTTTTCAATCTAAAAGTTAAAAATAAAAACATTAATAATATTCCAAGAAAAACAAAAGGCAAACTTGATCTAATTTTTGATTAGTTGTTCGCAATTTTTCTTAAATTTTCAGATGTTCGTCCATTGAAACACTTGCATAAGGAACATATGTGACATATTGTGAACAAGAAGGACGAAGTTGGACTTTTGTTATCTTACCTCTTGAACCAAGTTTTGGGACACGACTTTTTGTATTGAAACCACCAAATACATTCACGAATTTTTTTGGATCCGGTTCAAAGGTAGAACTACTTTAAAAAAATTTTTGTAGCTCCGTCTAAAAATTAAAAATTTTCTAACCATTATATTCTATCATTCAACATGGAAAGATATATTTTTTAAAATATATATATTCTAAAAAATTATTCCTTACGATGTGCATTATACGTCGTCGGTCTACAAGATAAATATCATTAAAACTTTTGTCAAACATATATAAAATACAGAAATTTATATTTAAAAACTATATTTATAGTACCATAATCTTTCGAACACGGTTAACAAATCGAGTCCCCCACAGTATTGATTTGCAACTGCTGCTGGAATTTTTTTTCTTTTTTCTTTATTTTGTTCAACTATATCTTGAAATTCCTTAGAACTCCACTGTTCCTTCAATTTATGCCAAATCTCAAGAGAAAATTAATTTCAGACATGTATTTTGTTTTTTTAGCATAGCCTAAATTTCTTCTTAATAAAACTAATTTTATTTAAAAATAAAACACGAATCTCAAATTCATACTAAGATTCCATCTATAAAAGTGATGTTGAAATTTAATAGTTAAAATCAATTAAGTAATAAAATAATTAATAAAACAAACTCAATATTACATATATCTTAAATATTTAACTATTTGTTTCATTATTAAGTATTTGCTTCATAGAAATTCATGGTTCAAGCAAAATTTGATCGAAAGATATTTCTTAGTTTTCCAATCAAACTTGGAATTGAACTAATAAATATTATAATTATGTATAAAAAACAACTATGTGTTTATTGTTTACATTTACAAGTTGAACACGTAGGAACAAAACTAAAATGCACATTATTAGCAGTGCAGATGTAATACCCTCATCACTCAAGTCGGAGTATCACTGCCACGCCACATCGGAAGACTCATTTATCAACCAACGAGTCATACGTTATGGTGCTAAGGAAAAAAAACTAAACTGAACCGAACCAAATTTTCGATTAACCGTATAAATTCAATATTATATATTTGATATTTGTTCGGTTAGGTTAATCGAACCAAATATATTTATATATATGTTATTATATTTTAAAAATCTCTATAATGATTATATTATATTCGATTTCGGTTCGATTCAGTTCAACTCTTTGAAATATGTGCAAATATTTTATTTAATTAAAATTTTATTTTTAAAAAATATGTTTTCTTAATTTCGGTTCGATCGGTTCAAATTATTTGCAAATACTGAAAATATTTTCAGTTAACTGAAATTTTTAGTTCGAATTTGGTTTGTGATTTTGGGTATTTGTTTGGTTCGGTTCGAATACTAAATAACTGCATATTTGCAAATAACTGAAAATAACCGAATTGTACCCACCGGAACAAAAAGCGATATAATTTTTTACTAAAAGATAAAATAAAAACATATTTAGATGACAAACAAAATAAAAAAAGAGCAACAATTTAGGTGACAAAAAAGTATAAAATATATATATACACAAGATACTACATTCGTCGACTCACAAAGTATACAATATTCTATTTTAGGTTATCCAATTATAAAGTAACAAATTAAAAAATCTCAGTTTTTCCCACAAATATCTCTATTTTATCACCGCATCATTGTTTTTACACCAAAAAGTAAGGGCAAAATTATTTTTACACTATTTTTAACTACTCGCTATAATTAAAACATTATTATTTCTTAAATTTAGCGCCAAAAGTAAATATTACCCGGACAGAGAAGTTTATAATATGTACTCCCTCCATCCTAATTTAAAGTATTTTTTTTACTATTTTTTTTCCTGTTCACTCAAAAGTACAAATTTTCATTTTCTTTACTAAAAGTAATCATACATTAATATCAAAATAACTTTAATTTAAATTGCAAATATACAATTATTTTATAAAAAAAGTTAAATGACAAAAATGTTAAAATTTCTTACACACTTTTACTAACCAATGAAATACTATTTCTTCCGTCATCAAAATCTGTGCTCATTCCCTTTGTACTTTATAAAGGAAGTGAGCACAGTTTTCGATGATAAAGGTAGTATTATTCTTTAATTTGCTACAAAATTTCAAACGACCTCATTTCAAATGGAACGAATGAAGTATATTAAAAGCTTTGTTCACTTATATACTTCTACTAACACAATTTCAAATATATATTCTTTTCGTCCCAACTTAAGGTATTTGTTTTTATCATTTTTGTATGTCTCACTCAAAAGTATTATTATTATTATTTTTTAATAAAAATAATTATACACTTTAATTTTTACTTAATTATAAACATACCATAGTATATACAATTAATTTATGCATAAAATAAAAAGGCAAAAAAGTTAAAATCTCTTTCTTATACATTTTTATTAACCAATAAAATATTAGTATTATTTTTTTAATCTATTCTATTCTTTCAAAAAAAATTCAAATATTCAATACAAAATACTCATTTCGTCACACGTTAATGTATACATTTTGTCATTTTCATCCATCACAGGTTAACATATATATTTTCTTTTTCAATGATTATGGATTTTACTATTCAATACAAAAATCTCTACTTTATTACATTTTTATCATTATATCATTACTTTTACATTTAAAATATAAGGGCAAAATTATTTTTATATCACTTTTACTATTCACTACAATTAAAATACTATTTTTTTAAAAAAAATTCTAACGTAAAAAAAATAATTGTATACATTAAAACATGATGGATAGAGTATTATCTTTTATATTACCACATATTTTTTCATACTTTAGATAACAAAAATACTTTAAATTAAAATACTAAAAAAATATGACTTATTTATTGCCATAAAATTAATAATTTAATATGAAATAGTACTTATATATTAGTATATTTTTTTATTACCAACACCCTTGTTCATATAATATATATATATATATATAAAAGATCAATTATCCAAAACACTTTTAGGATGTATTCAATTAAAATTTTAATGAAATTATTTGGACTTTAAAAAGTTAGTACACTTTGGTGGATATAGAAATTTATAAGATTTATTAATTGATTTTATTTATTAATTTAAATGAATTTTGATATATTTAATTGGATTATTTATTGATTTATTTGAATTTTTTCAGAGTTTATAAATTTATAAATTAAATATTTTTTATTAATTTATATAATTTCGAATATATGGAGTAAACTTATATATAAAAAATTTCAAATATTTAATAAAAATATTAAAAATACATCGGTTCTGAAAAATATTATTATTATTATTCTCATTTTATCTTGTAGCAATATATTTAATTATTATTATTATTATTATTATTATTATTATTATTTATATAAGGTTTTCGAGATACTGGATTCTCATCAATGTTCACGTTACGTAAGCCGACGTTCTCGCTTCTGTTTTTCTTTTTGTACAAAAATAAATATATATTTTAAAATAAAATCATATTAAAATTACAATTTTTATAATTGAAATTTAAAAATTAAAAAGGAATAAATACAAATTAACAATATAAACTAAAATAGGTGATTTTTGAACTAAAATCGAAATAAGAAAATATAAATTAAAATTTTAAAAGGTTTAATTTCGATTTGACATTTTAAAAAAATTTAAACTAATAATTTTAATTCGAATCATTTGAACAAATTTATTTTTTTTAAACATATAAAATTTTTAATATTATTTCAAATATATAAAACTTTAAAACATTTGTATTTTTTTATATTTAATCTAAAGCTTTCTTATCTTATTGATACTATTATATTAAAATATTAAATATATATGAAATAATAAATAGTTATTAATGATATGAAAAAAAAAAAGTTAAATTTTTTAAATTTTGATAATTCATTGAAATTTACCTCATTTCATATAGTATAATTCGCTAATAATTTTATTAAAAAATCAAGCAAAATTTATGGATTTTTAATGGTAATGGATAGTTGAATATACCAAAATTTTTAAAATTTTTTAAAATTTTCGGTTGAATATATACATAATTTTAAGAGACTAATAAAATTCAATCAATTTTATATTAAATACACCATTTTAAGAGTTTGTTTGACTGTAATTTGAAATATAATATTAATTTGAACTTTTTTATATAGTATTTTAATGCAATTTTTTTCTAAAAATAAAATAATATAGTTTTATTTAAAATTATAAAAAGAATAAATACTATCTTCGTCCGGCTTTAAGGTCTCATATAATTTTTTTTGTTGATCTTTAAATATTAATTATTATATAAAAACGTAGTACAAATTAAAAAAAAATTACAAAAATACTTTATTTAGTATTTTATAATATTAATAAAAAGATATTTATAAAAAAATAATACAAATATAAAAATATTTTTAATTTTAAATATAATTAAGTAAAAGGTAGTGTGAGAGTACAAACAAGAAGAGTATATTATTTTCGGTTTAAAGTTATAAGAAAATAAACCTTAAATGCATTCCAATCCAAGATTAAGCTCCAAAAAGAATATAGTACTAAGTGGTCGGGCCGGGCCGGGCCGGGCCGGGCCGAGTTTAATTTATTAGGGCTTGGCTTAATAAACAGAGCCGAACTAGACGACTGATTAAATTTAAAAGTGTGAAGGGGTGAAATCGTAAATTTGCTGCAATTACTATTAGAAATAGGGAGGGACACACCAATTTGTATTGTATTGTAATTTGTACCTGCAATGGTGGCTGCTAGGGTTTAAGGCTCCTCGTCGCTTTACCATTCTCTTGAATCTCGTTCCACGAAGGACAATGGGTGCTGCAAAGGCTAAGAACGAAGAAGAAGAAGAACTAAACGGTTCGAGGATGGTTGCCGTCCAATCTGCCGCATCCAAGGACGCGAACCCTGATTCGTTGGTGAGTTTTTTTTTTTTTTGTGCTTTCTCGGCTTTCGCCAAATTAGCTGATGACAATAGCGATTTCTTAGCATTAGTTTGGGAAGTCTTTTGTAAATGGTGTGGATTTACAGGGTGTTTCTGAAGAGGACGAGATGCAAGTTAAAAAATACCTCAGAGGTGAAGCTGCGAATATAGGGGTAATGGAATTGGCAGAAATTTTTTTGACTATTGCTGTGATTGTTGTTTCTGCACGTTTTTATTTTTGATAATTTACTCAACAGGTTTTAAAAGATAAGAAATTGAAAGGTCAGCTGGTTGTGAGGGAAGAATTGTATGGAAAGTCCGCCCAAGCCGCTGCCAAGGCTGAGAAGGTGACGATTGTTTTGCTGCTTTTTCTGCATACTAAGCCCTGATTTTTATAAGTCAATGTCGTCCAATGTCATCTTAGGGTGTGCTTGTTTGGGGATTTGGATTTTGAGTTGAGATTTGAAGTGTAAAAATTTTAAATTGTAATAGTTGTTAGATGTATATTTTTAATATAAAATTAATTTTTAGTATAATATAAAAAATAAAAAATAGGTGTTTGATTTGATGTTTTAGTTTGAAAATTTTGATAAATAGTAGAATTTTGAGAAAATTCTCCAATCGAACACACCCTTAGTGCATCGTCAATATATTCATTTTTTTGGGTAAAACTGTAGGCTTTGCTTAGTTACTCCTTTTAATGGTTGATAGATGAAAGTTAGTGGGGTTATTTATTTATTTGTTAAGTTTCTGTTTCAGGTTCATTAGAATTTGTGTCTAGGTAACTATAGTAGTATTTCATGTGATTCGCATGTGGAGTGAAATGTATTGGGTGATAATCTGATTGTATATTGATGTTCAGAATGATTTTTTGCATACTTATGTATATAAAGAGGAGAGAAAGAGATAGTGTTCTTTCTTTTGATCGGAAAATATTATATCTAAGCTATTATTCGTCCAAATTTAAAAATACATTATTTCCTCTAAAATGAAGAGATAGTGTTCTTGGTTGTATGCTTAAAGGTTATGAACGATCATGGGGATTTTAATGTTCCAAGCTTAATGCATGCAAATTGTAGCTAAATAACCAGAGTGTCTTGTTTTGTCTTTTAGTGGCTTATGCCAAGTGAAGGAGGCTATCTGGAAGCCGAGGGTATTGAGAAAACATGGAGGATTAAGCAGGAGGCAATTGCTGCTGAAGTAGACATCCTGAGTTCCAGAAAACAGTATGATATTGTTTTACCAGGTTCAAGCCTAATTTCTAATTCCTCAAACTTCACCTCATTTAATGAGATCTGGATGTTTCTGTTTGCTTTTAGTGACTGATAACATATTAAGGCTCATTTTCATTTCTAAACCTCAATTGATGTCACTGTCGAAATATAAAATACTGAGGGAATGGTAAAAGATAGGTGGAAATGGTGTGGATATAACCTGGACTGAGAATTTATTTCTGGAATAGTATCTCACAGACAACCTTCCTGTAACCTTTGTTCTTAAGAAGTCATGCAAAAAGTAAAAGCAAAACAGACTCGAGTAATGACAGACTTTTAAATATTTATTTCTGATCATTTTTCAGGAATTGGCATTGCTTTTCCATTGCTATCACTTAGTTTATTTAAATTACAATTAACAATAATTCTTTTCAGATTTTGGTCCTTACACTCTCAACTTTGATACGAGTGGCCGATATATGGTAGCCGGTGCAAGAAAAGGTCATCTAGCCCTTATGGACATGAAAAATATGGACCTTGTTAAAGAATTTCAGGTATAAATGCTTTTTGCAATCTTTTATGTAGGCTGGTTTACAAATATTAACACTTCTAAAGATGATAATGCCCCACAAGTTGATAATAGTGCACCTTTTCGAAATTGAGAAAATGCACTTTAAAAGATCAGTAGTCAATACAATCTGATACCTTGTTTTCCATTTGTTATCACCAAGTTTCATCTTTTTTTGTCACATTGTGAAAGTAGAATAATCAACAATGGCCGTTGCACATTTGTCGTTATTGTTGGAAATTTATTATATTCTTTTACTCATAATGATTATTTCTTTGCTTCATGAAGTGTTAACCCATACGACATCCTTAATAGTTCAAAATAGATTATTCACTATGTTTCTGAAAATTTATAGAAAATAGAAAATTTGGCCTCCTAAATTCATTTTGATAATCTGTTTTTGATGTATCTTCTTTTATGGGATGATATCTTAGGTTTATTATATATTTGGCATAGATAGCTTTATTATATTTATATTAACACAGAGTTTAGTAGATGAATTTCTACCTTCCCTAGTTTCGCTTTATAAAATAAGATTTCAGATGTTTATAGTGTAGGACAAAATGTAGTAATTACACATAAATTAACTATGCATTTATAAAAGATAGGGTTCTTTCCTGGATTTCGTTTGGGCTGATTGCTTCTATGAAGCTGGTAATGCGCCATGCATAACATGTGTTTCTAAGTTTGGAACTTGGTTTTGCAGGTTAGAGAAACTGTTCGTGATGTAGTATTTTTGCACAATCAGAAGTTTTTTGCTGCTGCTCAAAAGAAGTTAGTTCTTTTACCTATGGGTTTTTTTTCAATAAAAGAATAAAATCAATGAACATGAACATGAACATTTTGTGTGGGCATGTTATATCTAATTGCTTCTTATTTTGTTAATGTTGTGTGCAATATCGGCACTTCATGACTTTTTATATAGTGACATAATGTGCTTTGATTTTCTTGATTTTCTTTACAAATCAATCAAGCTAATATTATTGCATGAAATTACTGGGATTTATATTATTTGATTCATCAATTGAGTTCTTTTTTCTGGCAGTATAGTTGCTACTGATTGCTATATATATCAGGGAAAATCTAACAAAATAGTTTATGGCTTTGATACACCCTTGTCTTCTTAACTCTTGATATTCATGGTACTGCAAACAGTTGCCCCCCCCTTTTTTTTTTCCAATTCACTAATCAATTCATGATGCTATTTGCCATGTTGGTTCCTACAATGTTCTACCTGTTTGCTTTTTGTACGTCGCCCCTCATTCTACTGGCACTTGTGGTGTTTATGAAGCCAGTTTCTGACATGGATATTTTTATTGCCCTAATAAACTTCAAAATGTATATACAGTAAAAAAGGTGGTACACTATTCTTAACCTGTTTACTTTTTGACAGGTATGTGTATATGTATAATGATAGGGGAACCGAACTGCACTGCTTGAAGGTTAGAAAACCTTTACAATTCTTATTGTTACTTTGGGGTTTGTTTCAGGATTCGTATTATAGTATATTCATACAGGTGATTGTATATGCAACATAAAATTGAATGTCTAACTGCTTTCTCTTGTTGCTATCCTAACTGAAATTGAGTATCAACTTACATTATCCTAAAATATTTTTTACTCTGAAGAACCCTGAGAAAGCGAAAAGAAAAAAAATAAAATGAAAACTGATAATTTCATGGAAAGTCAGTTTGGGTTAAAAACTTGGTTGAGGATCTTGTAGAAATTTGCTTATTTTCTAGTCCATAAACAATAAAGACAGCTGTGTAATCGTAGTGGCGAATCATAAAATAATTCCGGTGTTGTTTCTGGATGCTAATTGAACTAGTATCATTCAACATCGGCCGTAAAAGATTTTGTAATTTGTCCTTTGAATTTAAGTATTTATGTCAATTTTGGGATAACTGGATGATACGAATGTTGAAGTTTCATGCACTGGCCTTTATTGTATATCTTTGGATTTGCGCGATGTGTTCTAATTAATGCATAATCTCAACCTCACGTTTTCTTCAGGAACACGGTGCTGTAAGGAAGCTTCAGTTTCTGAACAAGCATTTCCTCTTAACCTCTATTAACAAACAAAGTCAGCTTCATTACCAAGACATTACAACAGGAGTGATGGTGGGCAATTATCGAACTGGTCTTGGCCGATCCGAAGCCATGGAGGTCAATCCCTACAACAGCGTTGTGGCTGTCGGCCATTCTGGCGGTACAGTCAGCATGTGGAAGCCGACCAGTGCAGCTCCACTCGTCAAGATGCTGTGTCATCAGGGGCCTATCACAGCTATGGCATTTCACTCGAACGGCCATCTCATGGCAACGGCCGGAATGGAAAGAAAAATAAAAATCTGGGATTTGAGGAAATTCGAGGCTCTCCAAACACTTCCCGGGCATGCCAAAGCACTCGACTTCAGCCAGAAAGGTATGCTCGCTACTGCCACCGGCTCTTTTGTGCAGATATTAGCAGATTTGTCGGGATCACAAGAATACAGCCGATACATGGCCCATTCTATGGTTAAGGGTTACCAAATAAACCGAGCGTCGTTTAGACCTTACGAAGATGTTTTGGCCATCGGGCACTCAATGGGCTGGTCTTCTATCCTCATTCCCGGATCTGGAGAACCCAATTTCGACACTTGGGTGGCGAACCCATTCGAGACACGCAAGCAGAGAAATGAGAAGGAAGTTCGACTTCTTCTCGACAAACTTCCCCCGGAGACAATCATGTTGAACCCATCTGAGATTGGCTCGGTGCGACCCAACCGGAGGAAAGAAAAGCTCAGTAAGGAGCAGAAAGAAGCAGAAGTTGAAGCTGCCATGGTAGCTGCCAAGGATGTTTCTTTCAAGAAGAAGACAAAAGGTCGGAGCAAGCCGAGCAAACTGGCGAAAAAGAAGCAAGAAGCTATGGTGAAAGCGAAGAAACCGTTCTTGGAGCAAGAAGCTCGAGACGAAGATAAGTTGAAGAAGAAGAAGAGGAGGAGAAGCGAGGAGACTCAACTGCCGAAGTCGCTGCAGCGGTTTGCTAAGAAGACGGCTGCTTCGTGATTACTTACGCGGCGCGGATCGAGCTTTATTTACGACGAACTGCGGATTCAGGTAGAAGAATGTCGTGTGAAAGGATGGAGATTTTGTAACAGTAGGAATGGTATACAAGTGATGATGATTGGGGTAGTTTGAAGGTAAATTAAACAATGTTGTGTTCACTGAAATTTAATTTCATTTTTTGAATATGAGAAAGGACAACTTATTTGATCTATTTATTTATTTATTTTGGAGTCTACAGATAATTTTATCTTGTACCTTATTTAACATATAGAGTTCCAAGGTACCAATTTCATTTAATTAAAGTAATTAGTTATTTTAATCTTTAATTTATAATTATTTATATTATAAGATAATTATTTTTACTTATAAATTATTAATTATCTATTAATTATATTTATCCTAAATTTTCGTGTCTACAATGACTCAGATATCCAACGTGGACGGAGGGAGTATAAAACCCACCCGAATTATTAGACTATATTTTTAGTTTTGATATATATTCATATGCTAATATATCTATAATTATTTTGTAAAATATATTTAATTTTTTTTTAGTTTTGATATATATATTCATATGCTAATATATCTATAATTATTTTTTAAAATATTTTTAATTTATTAAATCGGGTTGAGTCAAGCATGGTTTGATTTTAATGGGCTCGGGCACAGCCTAGTACATTACAATGTTAGGTTAGGCGCGATTAGAAAAATTTTTGATTTATTTTTTTAGATTAAGTACATTCTTTTTGTATCGAATTTTTGAACAATGCTTAATTTTGTCGACATTAATTAGACTAGACATGTTAAATGGAATTAATGGCTATTTCTGTGTAATAAAAAAACAATTAAAATTGATTTATTTTTTATATTTGAATAATTTTTAATATTTTTATAAGGTATTTATTAATAAATTTTCTTTATTACTTTATAAAAATTTTAAGAAAAAACATTTAATGCAAAACTATGCTTATTATAATATTTTAATATATAATATAAAAATAATAAATAACAAATAAATTAAGCTTTGTTTTTCTAACAATTCATGATAAAAAGAAAGAGGCTATTTCTACTCTTAACAAAGTATCAATTTTGGTATGATTGTATTATCTAAGTACCATTATAAATATTCTTCTAATTTACAGTATTATTAAATATCATTTATCTTTATATCATACTAATAAGGCTAATTTAGTCTTTCATTTTTATTTTTACTCTATTCTAATATAATATTAATATTTTTTAAATTTTATAAAAAAAAAAAAAAAAAAACTAATAGTTATAAGACGGACGATTATGGAGTATTATTTAATAATTTAAAATAAAGGGTTAGTGTTAGAGCTTGACTACTTTTCAATTAAAGTTACGCGGAGCCAAGATTGGGTTTCAAATTAACGTCAAAACAAAATTCATTTGGTCTTAAGAATTAATGTGCATCGAATGATGAATGAAAGCCCACTTCCAAATTTATGCTCCTACTCCCACAACTTATTTTCAACAAAGTACACCTAATTTTAATAATAAAAAATGGTATTTTTCTTTTAGTCGAGTTTCTCTAAATTTTACTATTTGAATTCTGTATTTTTCGATAAAAATATATTTTTTCTTCTCACAAAATATCTCATCAAACATTATTTTTATACGAAACTCAAATCATTTTTTTTAAAAAGAAACACTGAATTTGAAATACTGCAAAAAAATTTAAAATATTGTAAAATAAACAAATTATTAATGTATTATTTGAAAATTTCAGATGAACTAGTTAGTGGTAGGAGGGATAGGTTAAGGGGCTCAATTGGAAAAATCAGCATCCGTAATATATACAAACAATACATTGTCTTATTATACACGACATATATTGTGTATAATAAGACAATATGTTATTGGTTCATAATTATAAGTGTGTTGTATAACGGTATATGATGTGTTGAAATTAACTGTTATTTGTTTTGTACAAGACTATAACATGATGTGTTAGTTTATTTGTTGTATTTGTGGTGTTGGTTCATAATTACAAGTCTGTTGAAATCAACTAGTATTTGTATTGTATAAGACTATAACATGTGTTGTATTTGTATCATATGAGTGCATATTGTGTGTTGTCAGTATTAATACCATATGTGCTGTCTAACAGAGCGTTGAATTTTAAAATTCAGCACTGTAGTCGCCGCCGTGATCGGAATAGCCCTGTTGATCAAGAATGGATTGATAGTACGTATATTGAATTTCTTCAATATATACTGTATGAATTGTTACCATTTCTACCACATATATATATATATATATATATATATTAATAGGTATTTTGTATTGGAATCAATGATGATATGTGTTTCGTAAACTATTATCATGTATGTATTGTTAATTCATACATTGCAAATTTAATACTCCCTCGTTTCATAATAAAGTATCTATTTTTCCATTTTAGTCCGTCCCATAACAAAGTATCCATTTTTCTATTTTAGTCCATCCCATAACAAAGTATCCATTTCCTTTTTTAGTAACCGTACTATCTACCTAATATTACAAATACCCTTACAACTTATAATATATTACACAAATGTCATTACCTTTATATCACACATACTAATAAGGTTATTTTAGTCATTTTTACTTTATTCCTACTATACCCCAATATAATACTAATATTTCTAAAACTACGTGCAAAAAGTAAATAGATATTTAGTTTTGGGACGGATGGAGTATTATATTAAGATAACCTTGTATTTTCAATGTGTTAATATTTTTATGCGCTGATTAGAGCTAATTAATACCCTAATCAATAACCATCATCATCGGACATCCTTTTACTGATCTTACGTACTGATTATTCATGCATGCATGTTATTAACCTCATATTTATATCCTTAATTATTATCCATCCAAAAGACAAACAAATTAAAAATTGGTAAATGCCTTTTGAAATTTGTGATGTTCTTCCTCGTCGCCGTCACCAATTGTACGTTTTTCTTTTGTGTAGGGGAAAACATTTCGGATATATTCTATTTAAATTTGAATCAATATGAAAATTCGAATTTTAAAAAAAATAATAATAATAAAAATATTTTGATAAGTTTATTTTCTTTTTAGATTTTTAATTAAAATATTAAATATATATAAAATAGTAAATATATTAATATATATAATTATGAGATTTATATTTTTTTTACTAAAGTACTAATTAATATATAATAAAAATATTTATTAAAATATTATATTTGAGATTTGAGATTCGAATTAGTTCGTATTTTTATTATATCGATTTTGAATTGAATCGGAAATACAATTTTATTAAAAATTTAATTTTATCCGATCCGAAAATTTCGAATCAAATTTTAAATTTTGATTTGATTTGGATCAAATATTTGGATTTTTATTAATTTGCTCGCCCATAGCTAGCTAGGTCTTTGTATGTTCATTGTTACTATTGTAACTTCTGCTGATTGCAGATCTGTCACCTTTAATTTTCTACATTAATTGTAATGTTAGAGATTATGGCTAAGATTAATTTTTTTATGTTAAAAAATAGGTTAATTATTTAATTATAAAATTTAATTTTGAATTGGAACCGATTATTCTTGTGAGGTGAAATCACGTGGATTATATATTAATAGTTATTAAAAATAATGTAGTTTATGCATATGAATACTGGTAAACCATAGGTGCGCACCGCTTGTCCGGATCATATAATATGATTGTGAAATTAGACTTAGACTTGGTAAATGATAGATTTTGACAAAGCCTATATTATTGCTCCAGAGCTTGAATAAAACAACAAAATATTTATGTTGATCTCGAACCCCAAGAAATGAATATAGCCTCGAAAGCGCAATTGCATGCATGCATAATTATAAATTTATGCATGAAGAATTAACGGTGTGTTTCTCCAGCCCGATTTGGACAAACACAATGCACAGTGATTTGGTCGCCAAACCAGGGCTGGCCTTCTATTGCCGACAAGAAGCTGCTGCAGCGTCCAACTGTTGCTGCTATTTTTTTTTAAAAAAAATTAAAACAAAGGGCACGACTGTGCAAGAATTCAAATATTTATTTATTAGATATTTATAATAGTTATAGTTTACTAATACATATATATAATATTGTTGGAGTTTAAAATTCGAATACTCCAAAAATCGTTCGTTGATTCGTTGGTGTGGGTACCGAAAGTACTCAAAAAGCCTAACCCTCATCGGGTCTATAAGATCTCACGCAATCGATCAAGATGAACCAAATTAATCTACGAAAAGCAAATAAAACGAACGGCAAGAAAACAAAAACACTTAATTTAAATTAAAATACATAAAATAGATTCTAAAAACCATGAAAAAGTAAAGAAATATGCGAATTGTTCTTCTTGTGCGTGTGTGTTATGTGTTTTAACTAGTTTTAACCCTAAGATCAAGTAATCACATCTTCTTCTAAAAAGGTGGTTTTAATTATTTCTTCCACTATCTGGTAACCTTCTCCTCACAGTCCCTAACCACTGGATTTGCCTTGAACCACCTCCATTACGTCTGAACCGGCTCCCCACTCGTTCTGAACTGCCTCCACTGCCCTTGAATCGGTCTGCAGCTTACACCCCTACCCGGTCTACAGGGGTATTTGTCCCCAACAACCTTGAGTTGCATGGAACCTTCGTTTTTTTTTTCTTCTCTTGTCAGCTTGCTCCATGAAACTTTTTGAATAAAACATAAAGGTGCATGGACTTTCCATTAATGTTTAGTACGAAACTCAGGGTCAATGGAGGTTGTCATCCCAGGATCTGTAGAAGCTGTTGCGTTCTTTCTTGTGGAAGCAGCCTTCATTTGCCTTGTGGAAGCACCATAGAACAATGGAGGCTGCAACTTTCAGCTCTATGGAGACAAGGACTTTTTGGCTTTATAGAGGCACCGCTTTCGGATGAGATTTCGGAAAAGTTGGTTGCTCTCCATACTTTGAATAATTTGGACGTGGGTCCAACAAATATATATTATTTTGTAGAAAATAAATTTTTTTATAGTACAAATAAATAAAAATTAAAAAAAAATATATGTACATATAATATAAATTCGTATTCAAATCATACCATGATTAATTTTAAAAATATAAATTTAATATACATTCATATTATTATATTTACTACCCATTAAATTAATACATATCAAAACTCTTCAAACTCAAACCAAACCTACATAAAATAAACATAACGCATTTTTAAATTTAAATCAAATCCAAACCCAAATCCAATTTTT